CCAATTTTAGGTTGCCACAAGAAAGACTTGGTTTCAGCTAGAGATCTTCCTAATGGCCATAACTATTAGTTTTGGCTAGGTTGTTCTCTGAGGCAGTAAATTCCACAGATAGGTTACAGAAAATACCATTTCTATGCAAAATTTCCAAATTTGCTGCCCTTTTATTAAATATGCTGTTCCTCTCAATGAATGTTACTCTGAGAAAGGTTATACACTTCCTTATAGAATAATACACTTCATTATGGAATACTTGTAGTACTAGCATTTAAAAAAATGTTATCACGACATTCTATAATCATTAGAAATCAATTAACAATTTATTCAAGGAACAGAAGCCTAGCCCAGGTGCCCTAACTTACTTTCCATTAAGCTGCAGCTCTCCAGCACTGTGCACTGAGCAAGAAATTTAAAAAAAAAATAATAATTTTTTTATTCAGCTTGCTGCTTTCCAGTGACTGATTTCCAGCTGCCCTTTTCTGATGGATTAAACTTTTCCTGTCACCCTCTTTTTGAAAGACACTCACCACAAAGTGTCAGGGTGCGAGTGTGCATTGAAAAGTCAGCAGAATTCAGTGAATTGTGCCTGCCCCTCCCATTTAGTGACTGAGAGCCTGTGCTTGGTGATGCTCAACCACTTTGGTAATAGTTTATATGCCTCCAACATTGTCTCTGAGCTGTGGTGCCTGTGTAAGGAGTGAGACACTTGCAAACGTGCCAGATTATCCCTGGGCAGGAAAAGAAATGACTAAACAACCAACACATGAATGTCACCTGTGGCCTTGCCAATGTGACTTCACCTGTGTCTTCTGGAGAACCAGAAAACAAAGGCACAAAGGTCTAGCAAGAAAGGCTTTTATTCCTTGGCCCCTGCTGAAACTGCTGATAGGAACTGAGATCAGCAGAATACAGAATTAAAAACCCTGGTGTTATTTCTAGGTGTGATTACCTGTGCCATTGAGAGAAAAGCCTTTGCTGAAATGCTGTAGGCATGATAGCAATTAAGGGTGCTTGGCAAAGATAGAGCTCTTCCAGCAGACCTCATATATGCTGAAATTACCTCTTTTTGTCATGGAACTGAGTGGTTTCTTTGACAGCACCCGGTGAGGCCAGGTAGTATCCAGCTTTGCAGAGTGGAAAGCTGAAGCATAATGAGCCAAATGATGTCCCCACAGTGCCAGAGAGGGTATGTAGGAAATAATAATGAGAAGGAATCCTTATCTCCAAGATCTCTGAGAGATGATGCATGAATGCTCTGAAATGTGCCAGCTTCCTCACTGTTGAGAGTAGTGACAGCTAAGTGTTGAGATGTGAGCAGTGAAAGGTCGGGCAGTTTGACTCAGAAAGCAGAATTATTTCCATAAATGACAATCTGCACATTCCCACTGATCCTGAGCTTCCAGCTGACGTAACAACTGTTCCATACATGCTTCAGTTGGCATCAGGTTGCAATCACCTGGACTGAAAGTTATAATTCGAACCTGCACTGGTTGATACGATAGTCTTTGCCCAGAACTGTGAATTTAGAAGATGATCTACCTTTTCTGCTGGGATTCCAGTGAGCACTCAGGGAGAAGTGCTGCACTCAGGCACAGAAAACTGAGCTGTGTACAAGGAGTTCATCCCAGAGAAGTAACCTGTAACTGAGCCAGTTCCTCTTCACTGGGAGCAACAGTACAAAATATATTATGTATATATTTTCTGCATTTTCTGCACTCAGGAAGGTGCAAATGGCAACATTCCTGGCCTTGCTGTTTTGAGTAAGTCTATTCCTATTCTCTTCCCCCCAGCTTTCACCAAACAACCTATTTCTCTGCATTTCTCCTGCAGCTGTTTTCCAGGAGAAAGCAGTAAGCTTACAGTGAACTGTTTCCTTATTGCAGGAAGGTCCTAAGATAATTTAACAAACACTTAACATTATATGATCATAAAACATACATTCCTGTCACCTGTAGGTCAGTCCCACAGGAATAATCTCACCTGCTACTAAAGAAAAAAAAGATATGAGAGCACCAAACACAGGGAAGTCCAGCAACAAAGACAGACTCAGCCATCTGCCAAATACTGACAGTTTCTCTCTGCTTGAGAAGTTCTTGCTGTCTCTGCCCCTCAGCTTCTCTGTTACATACATAACTGTGCAATAAAAAGGAAATGAAAGGCTGACCTCTGAAATTTTCAGTCTGAGAAGTCCCCTAAATGCTGTGCTGTACCAGAATGCAGCTCTGTTTTACAGGACTAATTTGTGCTGATGCTAGCTGCTACAATTGTTATGCAATTGTGCAGGCATTGGGAATATCAGAGTACACTATATTCTAGTTATACACTTCACCAGGACATGCTGGATGCTTTTTGCCATCTGGAAATTTCTTCATGCCAGGGAATGTTTGTCCTTCTCCTGACATGCACCTGATCTCTGTACCTGGCATTTGCTCCTAAGGATTCTCTGGTACCACAGCTTTGAGAAGTTCTACTTTTCCAGCTGACAAAAAAAATATCCCAAACTCATGATAGATAACTACCATGCAGCTGAAGCTCTTTTATCACCATCTATCATAATTAGAGGGATGTCAATTCATCACTGTGCCCACAGTGGTAAATTCTTATGGTAGTTTTTCAAAGTCACCAATACTCATTGTTTGTGCAGGTTGCTTTATATAGATATTGGTGTTCTTTGTAGGGGAGAGAGGATGTTAAATCTCATTTCTTTACTTAATTCCTACTTGGGCATTTACATTTTGCCTTCCTGGTTTCCCAGCTGAGATCTCAGGTGAATTTTTGCTTCCATCTTTATACTCAACGATGCTTTGTTCTCATTAAAGCCCTGATGTGCAGTAGACACCAGGGGTGTTACTTTTGGGTCACATGGGATGAAATGTGTCTTGCAAGCATAAAGAATAATTAGAATGATTTATAAACTAACTGAAAAATTCTGCTAAACTATAAAAAAGTGAAGAACTTTATTATGCTTGGGGAATGATAGCAGCTCAGGTACTCTTCTGCCCACCACCATTTGTCCTGTGGGGAAGGAGCTGATGATCTGTTTTCACAGAGGCAGATTTTGAGCTTATTTTTTAATGAGTCTACCTCAGTTCAGTCACAGCTGAAGGAGCCCTGAGATGGAGTTCTGGATCGGTCCATTGACTGTGGACCATTGCCAGACAAGAACTTTAGTGACTCTACTTTGGAAGAAAAATGGATAATGGACTTCCATCCACAAAGAACTGATTATATTAGTGTTACTCTCCTGCCTTGTCTTTACTGAAGGTCTGAAATTCCTTTTCTGACTTGTTGTGAATCTTGAGTGAAGGTACCTCCCCTGAAGAGTGTCTCATTGCCCGTGTATGGAAGGATATTTCTTCTGTGATTCCAACAAATGTGTAAGTTGCAAAGGAAAGAGCATTTTCCTGGAAAGAGAAGACAAAATTTTCAAAAGAGTGAAATACAAAGGAATGTAGACTCCTTTATACCTTTTGGTACTTGCAATTTATGTGCACAAATCAATTTAGTGGTCCTGAAAATGTTAACCACCATCTGTTTCGTTAATGATGCTACATCTGGATCCAAAGATAAATGTTTAGGAAGAGTAAAGAAGGGACTCTGATATTTTTGATACCATTATGAAAGTGAGATTTTATTAAGGTATCCAGCAACTTTCCAAAATTTTGAACTTTGAAAGAGCCTTCCAGATGAAATAGAGTTTATGTACTAGATGCTTTTAGAATATATACAAGATCATCTTATGGGCTAGAACTGGACCTCATTTAATACAGATTCTGGTGCTAAGATAAGTCTTCCTGCATCATATGCAGATGCTTGTAGTAGTGTGAAATCCATGTCATTCTGTTTACAGTCTCAGATTCCCTTAGTATTCCGTTGTGTAGGAATTGTGTTTTGGTGAGTGAATCATCCTTCAAGACGAGAGAAGGAAATTTGTGAGGAAGCTTTAGAAAACACTTGACCAGGTCAGATCATGGTGGGCCTGGAAAAGACCTTCCTCAAAAGAACGAAGTGAGGGCAGCCCCTCACTGTGGTAAGCTGTGAAGATTCCCAGAGCACAGGCAGGGAAAGATCAGTATTTTCCCCCAGCTCCCACCTGCTCCTCTCTGAGGTGCCTGTGGGACCTGGGAAGTAAATGTGATCTGACACTGTGGCAATGCCTACCAGAAACCAGCGATATCTGCCTGGCAGCAGAGGGTCATATGTGTGAGCAGGCGAGTTTAGAATTCATGGGGTCACTTACAACACCCTTTGTGGTGCTGTAAGTAAGTTCCAGAAAGCAAGTCCTCAGTTTTGAGCACCCAAGGAAGTGCCAGTAGGGCACATCATTATATCTTAGGCTGTATCAGTCGCTGACTGTGAGGAAATACCTGAAAAAACAATCAGAGGAGTGGTCACACAGAAACACTCGGTATGATTATGTGTAAACCAACCACAGGCTCTGTTTACAAACCTTTCCATCTGTTCCTTTGCCTAATCATTTCTGCTTTCCCTCTCTGTCTTCTAACTTTCCTTCATCTTTCCAGATGCAGGACGCTATGGGCTATGAGTTACCATGGGTGTATTTTGTCAGTCTGGTCATCTTTGGATCCTTTTTCGTTCTAAATCTGGTTCTTGGTGTGTTGAGCGGGTAAGCTGACAGTTTTGGTGTCCTTTTTCCAATGCTACAGGGCAAGACTCCATAATAAGGGTTCTTCCCTGTCACCAGGATACTTTCAGAGGGATTAAAAATCTGAATCCAAGGAAGCTTCACAACAGCTCTGAAATGCTTTGACAAAATGTTCAAATATTGCAAATAACAATGCAGGTAACACAAGCGGTGTTATTCCCTGACAGAGAAATTCAACCTCAGGGCCTTCAAAATTATTTATGTCAACCTGTCACAAATTTCCAGAAAACTGGCTATTGAAGAATATTACTGCTGGTGACTTGGGATCTCTTTGGCTGGAGCCTTGCAGTGCTCAGAATCTGAGCTTGTCTCACTAATTATCATTCCACTCTTCCAGGTCAATGATGCCATAGGAAGGGACTGGCCCTGGATCTATTTTGTTACACTAATCATCATAGGGTCATTTTTTGTACTTAACTTGGTTCTCGGTGTACTTAGCGGGTAAGCAGTACCAGGAAAATGTTTTATTATTGTTTATTTTTAAAAATCTGTATTTCTATTCCTACTCTCTGGTTACCAAAACAACAGTCAGTGGTGGGTTGATCTCAAGAGCCTTAAGAGAAGGCCTAGGCTTTTGCTGTGCCAGTAGCAAAATACAGCAGTCCCAGTATCACAGAAGGAGCCTTTGGACTAAATCAAAGGACTATAAGACAATTATTTTTGTCTGTAATACATTCCTCTAGCTGTGCCTTGTGGGCAAAGCAGTCCCTGCACCATAGAAGGGGATTATAGTAAAATTTCTGGAAGAGTCAGTAGGACTGAAGGAGGAATGAGAGCATGAGACTAATCCCTTCTCATCTGTAGGATGAGATTCCTGCCAAATTATGTCTTCTCACAGGAGAAATTTTCACATTGTTTAGTATATCTAAAGCACAGCCTACCAGGAGACTGTTCTCCCTGGAGAGAGTCCTGGGCACGTTTCTTCTTCAGCAATCCCATCCTCTCTACTGTAAAAATCTGGCATGATGCAGGGAGAAAAGATCATTTCCCTCTGACCTTTTCCAAGGGTGAACACAGAGGCAGAAGAAGTCCTTTTAGTGTTTAAACATCCAGACGTTTAGCTGTATATTGGTTCTGCAGTATAACCCTCGCTGCAAAACATCATTTTAGTAGCTTTGATTAAAAACAATGGATATTGCCCCCAGCAGTTAAAAACTTCACTACCCCTGGGGAGCCACATAATTAAAGGAATCAAGCCAGCAAACATTCCTTGCAAGATTTAAAAAAAATAAAAATCTTCTTGAATTAGGCTTCTAGTTCCAAATTTGGGCATGACTGGGGGCTACAGCCGTTCTTTGTACACAGATAAATATGGTATGAGGACTTTATGCATCCTAGTTTTGTTTCTACCATCCTGCCTCCCTTGATGAGCTCTAAATGAGTTTGATTGGGACCTGGACCTGTTGCCTGAGTAGGCAGCCCTGAATTCCTTTGTCTTTTGGTCAAAAGAGAGGGAAAATGATCTCTGAGCAGGAGAGGGGATTCCATGCATCATAGAAATGATGTCCTCAGTACTTGGGCCAACAAGATAGGAAGGGAAGCCGTGGGACCAGGGAAAAAGATCCACCTTTGGCCATCTGGCAAAGAGACAGGTAATAAAAGGTCTGCAGGAGGTATTATTTGTATCTTCATGACTCCATTGAAGGAGACAAGCCACTGTGACAGCTGCTGCAAGGAGAAGGGTTTCCATGCAGTAATGGAAGCGTGGAGAAAATCCCTGGTAATGAAGTGTTGGGCAATAGTCTGAGTTTGCATATCTGGAGAGTGATGCTCTGGTACAGGTTTGAGGCACACACTCCTCGTTCCTGCAGGTGGAGGCTCTGCCCAGCAGGTAAGGGTGTCAGCACTAGTTAGGGATGATGATCAGCTGGCAGGGAAAGGGATTTGTTCTGCCAGAGTTGTGCCCAAGGACCATATAGAAATGTTGTTAAAGATTACATGGCATCTGGATAAAAAGTGCCTGTGAGCCCAGCCATGAGGAGTGCACAGTATTGAAGCTCTGCTGGTTCAATTTGCCTGCACTTGGATTTGTACCAGTGCATAATTAACAATTTAATTCCCTCTCTCCTTCATTTTCAACTCAAGAAAGTGTTTTGGGGCCTAAATCACCCACCTCCTGCCATACTGCAGCTAGACCACCAGATTTAGTGGTAGGAGATGGAAACACACTGTAGAGGGAACTGAAATTAAAGATGAAGTTCACCTTGTTTAAGCTGTGAGTCACTCTTCCTGGCTGTCTTCACTGTGTTATGACAGCTGCACTGTTTCTGCAAAAATGTCCCCAACTGGAGAAAAGTAAAAAGAAACTTAAGAATTTGCATCCATGAAAAAACACAGAAATTATGGGAGAAATGTTCCAAATTTTCTTTGGTCTAAATAAGCAGTTCTTAAACAATTAACTTTCTAAAGCAGTTCCAAATTCTGCTGACTTACAAAGTGTCTTCACTTTGCAGATTCAGCTTTTTTTTTTTTTTTTTGGAGACTTGCTATTGCTATTAGTCTGATCTATGTTGATGATCCACCTGTCTGTTCTAGATACAGAGCAGCATTCCTGGTTATCTTTGAACATCCATTCTGGGCATCTCTGGCTTTTTTCCCATTTATCTATTTCAGGAGCTTCAGCAGGCATGTTGTGTAGGCTTCACAAATGACAGATTAGCCTGGGGGGGGGATTTAATCACTTCTGAATACATAAGTGTAATTAATTGTACTCACAAAGACACCTTGATTGCACCTGCAAAATGAAATGCTGAATTCTGCTCCACTGAAAGAGCTCTTTTGTAATTTGTTTTTCCTCAGGTATGTCATCCATTCATGGTCCTGGTGAATTTACTAATCACATGCTAGGCTAAATAGCATGTCAGAGTATTTATAAGTAGAGCTGTAATCTCTTCCTGACTTGGCTGAGCACAATATAAAATCTATGTACTCCAAAGGGATATCCACTCAGCAGATCACACAGCAGACCTCCCCAAACCCAGGCAAAACAGCTCCACATCGTTGGTCTGAGCAGCAATAAGAAGTCGCTTGAGATCAGAGATGTTCACATCTGTGTTATCTGTTCCAGTTAATTAATGAGGGAAAAAAAAAAAAGGCAGAGTGGGTTCAACCTTCAGACATGTACACCTAAGATTATAGAGTCACATTTCCTTTACATTTCCATCCAAATCCCAGGACACAGGCCAAACAAGCAGCTGCCTGATGGAGGGCAGCAGAACTGACGTTTCTTCTGCTTTGAGAGGATCCTGCAAAACACAGTTGGCTGCTTTTGATGCTTTTACTGCCAAGAAGGAGGTCAAAGTGAACAGGAGGCTGGCTATGGTTGTAGCTCCTCCTTGAGCAGTTTTTGTGACCTTTCAGGTATTTTTCCTAGTCTTCTGTCCCCTCCTTCCAGCCCTTCCCATTCCTTGGTGTACTTCTCTGGGTGGATGGGATTCGGAGCCTTGTGCTCCATTTTGAGTAGTAAGCAAGTTTTGAACCATCAGAATTCTGCTGTTTTGCTCACTTTCCATCTCACCTCTAAATGTGAGAAACCATATCAACAGGAAAAACCCAAATTCCATCATTGGGATGGGAAAGAGACATTTTCTTCTGAAACAGCACAGGATGCAGAGCTGGGTGTTCATGATCTTGACCCACTCTGACCTCACAAAGAGAAAACATCTCTCCACAACACTCTCCTCTCTGGCATTCCCATCGGCAGACATCCCTATAATTTTCTGGGAGAAGTAAACCAAAGTGAAACAAACCAAATTGTGATAAAAACAATCCGGTTCACCAGCTCTTATACCACAAAACATAGTTATGTTTTGGCTTCACTGAAGAGAGATTGCTTGCTGGTTTTTCAAGCCCTTGTTGACCTTACCCTGCCATGACAGCGCAGCCGTTTTTTGAACAGACAGCCTCAAGACTCAACGTGGCACTTCCAAAAGCTTTTTTTTGGTCCTTGCCCTACCTGCTGGAGCTGCAAACAGTGACCATTTATTGCCAGCTGTGCTGGAGGCAGCAGTGAGGTGTGAACCTGCCTGCAATACGCCCCGTGCCGAGGCCACCAGCTCCCTTCCCATGGGGTGGAAAGTGACCACCGATAGCGACTCTTGATTGTGAACGACATTTGCCCGAGCACACGCTGCCATTCCACGTGGGAGCTGCTTTGAATTCAGCAGCAGTTTCCTGAGCCACCTCCTCTCAACTGGTTTGATGTTAGTAGAGCATAGAAATTAAGACATTTTAAACCAGTTGTCTTCTTTGGAGAGTCATCCGAGACGTGGAGTGTTGTGTGTTGTATGAAGGGAAGAGACACGGAATTGCAGGTTATTTACACAAGGCAGTCACAGTATTTTGCATTGTGCTAGAAAACTCTAGGTTCAGCCCAATTCAAAATTGGACCCATTTGTTTTAGATTCTAAAATAATACTTCACCAGTTAAAAATTGAAATATTGGAATTTGATTTAACAAACGGGCTTAATAATATGTAGATTCATTCAGTGATTATTTTTTTGAGAGTTAATTCATTAATTTGGATACAGCACTGTAGCAGGCCCAGGGGAAAGCTGTTACTGAAGCAGAAAATATAACCACCATTGATGGATTTTTTCCTAACAATGTTTGTACAGTTTTTATTATTATTGTTTGGGTTATTTGGTTTTTTTACATTGTAAATAGTAAAATATCACTCCAAGTATAAGAAAAATCAATTTTTCATTTTTCTTTTCATGCCTTGAGGCTGAGTTTGGACCCAGAGCTGACTGTGAACTAACTTCAGTCCAGAAAATCCAGTGGTTCTCTTCCTCACTTCCACCTTCATTATCACACTCCCTTGGGAGGACCTGAACCCTCAGCAGCGTGACAGGGGTGCAGATGACACTGACATAAAGTGTCATATTTTGGCTAGAAATTAAGAGATCATCCTGCTTTCATCCTGCTGCAGTGCTGGTTTCATGCACAGCTCATAATTCTGAAAGCCTCATCCAAAATCTGTGGAGTCCCTGGAAGCTTTTCAGCAGGTTTTGGACCTGACAGGAGGAAAGAACCTCACCATCACTGTCCGAAACCCACCTCCATCTCAGCCACGTGGCACTCAAAAAATTGGCATTTTGGCTAGGATTCTCATTATCCTAATATTATACCACTAAAATCAGTGGTAGATCTATTCATTTTTGCAGGAGCAAACCTAAGACAAATGCCAAGTGGAGCAGCATTTTTTTATATCCATTAATTTTTGACAATCTTCAGCAACAGTAATGGATAATGCACTGGGTAGAATGGCTCCACCTGTCTTTTCTAGAAAGAGTGGCCTGTGTTATCTGCTGTGTCTTGTGTAGTGATCTGCTTCAGCAGATATCACTTAATGCTTAAGTGCTCTTGGTCTAGCAGTTTTCACAATCATTAAGCTTCCTTTTTAAAATACAGGCGTCAAAACCTGGTTTAGAACCACGTGAGTCTCTAAATAAGGGAGGTCAGCATTTCTTGGAAAAAAATATTGTTGTATAGGAGTCTCTGAAAGAGGAGAGGAAACAGCACCACAGCCAAAAAGAAAGCAAAGCCAAGAAGCCAGGATTTTAACTAAGCAACAGGAAATTCTTGTTCTTATGCCCTAAGTCTATATTCCCAACAGCGTTCTTTAATAAAACTATCATCAAATGTTCTACCCTGTTAATTTATCGTATTTGCCCACCCTATGTGGGATTTGAAAAACATATTTCATGTCAGATAACAGCCTCGAATGCTGAAAGTCTTCAGTAAAACTCTGAGGTCTGAGAAGTTCTTCAGTAAAACTCTGAGGTCTGAGTTTTTAACTACATTTTCCAGTACCGTGGGTGAAGTGGTCCATAATTAAATATGTACAGAATTGTGAGTACCATTAATTACACTTAAATTAGCCCAATTTAGTTGTGATTATAATATAAAAAAAGACTGAAACCTGGCTAGAAATTAGAGTTACCATCTCACTCTCCAGATGTCAGATTATTGTCAAACAGTTCTGCATTAACCATTAATCATACAGACATTTGTAGATAACTGTTGGAGAATATCAAGTGCTTACAGAATGTTAGAAAATGTCTGGTATCATACATAAAATTGTACACAAATGTTACATGTGTGTTTTATTTGAATTGTCAGTCAGAGGCTGAGAAGGAAAGAAAAAGGTATCAGTCTTTTCCTAATTATTGATGGAAATGTGGACACTCCAGCTGTTTTACATGTGTGTGTGCAGCAAGGGTGCTCCATACATGTCTTTGTCTTGAGAGAATAGAGACAGCTGGGTGTGCCACACAGACTGATGAGACTTTCTAGTGGAAATCAATCTAACCCATTGTTTTTCTTCCATCTCTTCCTTCTTTCCACCCATGTCCTGTCCCTCCCTCCCTCTTGCTAGGGAGTTTTCCAAAGAAAGAGAAAAGGCTAAAGCTCGAGGGGATTTCCAGAAGCTACGGGAAAAGCAACAGCTAGAGGAGGATCTGAAGGGATACTTAGATTGGATAACTCAAGCAGAAGACATTGATCCAGAAAATGAAGATGAAGGCATGGATGAGGAGAAGCCTCGAAACAGTAAGCAACTTTCTGCTCTCACTTTCCTTTTCCCTCTCTCCTCCTCTGTCTTTCTCTGTGCTTTCAGCAATAAAACCTGTGCCCATCTGCTGTAGTGCTGAGGAGGCTTCTAAGGAAGAGCAAGTTCTTCCTGAGACATGCACTATGCTTATACATGATTCCAATTTAATGCTTGTAGGAAATCACAGGAAGCAGAAAATACAATACAAAGCAATAACTGATATTCTGCAGATCAGCGTTTAGTCTGTGATATGGGCATTAGGTACTGATATTAAACTGATAAAAGGTCAATACTTGCTGGTAAAGCCCACTACTGAGAAAAGTTTTTAAATACAATTCTATTCATGTGTTTAATTGTAGCTCAGTGTTGCAGGCTCTTTGCACATGGCTGGTTCCTCTGAAAGCAAAGGTTTCTCTGGGAAAGCAGGGCTAGAGTGTGGGAGGAGGGCCAAATCAGCCCTGTTGTACCTTAAGAGGGCCATCTGTAGCTCCACTGAAACCAGTGGATCTGTGCTTGCTTTTGCCAGGCTGGATTAAGCTCTCAGACATTTCTTCTGAGGGTGTTATTTCTTACTCTTCGTTTTTGGAGAAAGCAAAAGCTCCTTCTGGTACAAAGCGAAAACTCACCAACAATCTCCTATTAGAAATCCTCAAGAAGCAGGGGCTTGAAGAAAGCAGTGCTTCCCAACATTTCCCTACCTCCACTGAATCTTCTGCCACCTTCTCTTGTACCAGCACGGGCTGTGCAACACTTCAGAGACCCTTAGAAATTATCACTGCTGGTTGTGACTTGGGAAATGTCAGACTTGGAACCTTTACACAGCCAATGGACAGTGGCTCAACTCTTGGCTCTCATCCTGGGAATGTGCATTTTCTTTGTCTGACTTTGGAAGAGGAGACACAAAACATGTCCCTAGATGTCACCTTTCTTACCAAACAATCAAAATCTATGGGATGATCCCATCACAAACATATATTCCAGCAGCAATAGGAAGATTTGACACAGGAAAGTTGTGCCTTTCTTTCTTCAGCAAGATTTTTTATAGATGTTCATGACCTTTAGGAAATTAGTAACCACTAATTGCTGCCAAAACAATTAAGCTCTTTCAGAAAAAAAATTGGATCATTAATATCAGGTTATACCCACAATACTTAGGTATCTGGGCTTGAAGGAATCACTGTGGTGACTCACTCAGACTTTTCCCAAATCAGGTTATTTTGATTTTTATGCCAGTGTTTTCATAGTTCATATAGTTTACTTCCACAATTTAACTTCAGCAACCACTCAGAAATTAATTTATTAATCATTTTTAGCCAAAATCTGCTGCTCTGTGGCATACAATACACTAATAAATCAATGAGGATTCACTGCATGCACTGTTGAGTGTGGCCAATCCATATTTGAGCTAACAAGCTCCTTTCATGGGTGATGATTTTAAAAACTAAAAGCATCTCCAGCTTGCTTTCAGTTCTTCCTGGTCAATTTGATAAGGTGAGTTTTGTAAGACATGGTTTATCAAAATTAGTCCTCTCACATCTGACTCAGAAAAACTGAGAAGTGCTGGTTTCAGCTTAAAATCATACCACAGAAAAGGTACCTTGAGTAAGTGACAGGGCAGGGCATTTTGTTTAGAGTGAGGTTTATTTTTGGTGTGTTATCTCCTGGGTTGAATGTTTTGGCATTCGTGCCAGCAGTCAATCACCAGTGGGGTTAAATTGAAGGAGAAAGATGGTATTATTTCTCTTCAAAAAGCCATCTACAAAATAGGTAAAGGAGAGATGGAATTGTAAATTCCCTCATGAATCCCTTTGGCTTGAGCGTTCCCAAGGCATTTGAATCCCACCTGCTCCCAGTCCAAGCTCACATCACCCAGACCCCAGTGTCTTCCTTGTTTCCTTGTGTTTAGCTCAGTTGCCTCCTATGCACCTTCAGTGTCTTTTATTCACATGCCCATCAAAGCTCATCACTCTCTGTTTCTAGCACAGCATCCTGAACTCCAGGGCTGGCTGTTACAGCCCTTTCAAGCACACTTTGCTCAGTGACTAATTAACATTGACTTTTAAGGTATCAGCCCTGAGAATTTCAAGTGACAGATCACTGAAGCACACAGGGAAGTTCAGACCTCCTTTAGCTGCTGTGTTAGCTCAGTAAACTGGAGGTGTGGCCTTTGCATCAGTGGAGTTGTGCTGATGCCCAGAGGACCTGTGCTCCTGCCTGACCTCTGACAGTGATTCACACTGATGCTTTAAAGAAGTCACACCAGTTTTGGCTTCTTTGGTTTTCCCTTGGAGGTTGTTTGGGGGCTTGATGTCTGATCTTTTGGGTTTTTTTTTAATAAAGAGTATCAGAATAGTTTAGAAGTTCAAATTAAAAAAAAATATTTATTAATCTAGAGACTCAGCTAATGTAAGTTCTGAGACTCAGCAGTTTACACCATCTGGGCTCTGACCCAGGTAGTCTACCTAAACTGAATCATCCCAAACACAAAGAACATATGTTTCCAGTGTCTTCCCTGTCCTTGGTACATAGCTACAGAGGCAGATTTTGCTGTCTTTTGACTTTGTAGAGAGTGCTGCCCACTTGTCAGCATGGGCACTGCCTCCTTTAAAACAGAGGACACAAGGTGGAAGGGAAGAAAAACTTACCTGCATCCCCTTTTTGGTTTGACTGCCTGTGGCAGTCCTTGGGGCATCATTGGTCATATTTTGCATCTGCTGCTTCTTTCCTGAGGCTCTCAAACCTTGTCCAAAGCCCCAGTGGATGTTTGCAGCCCTTAATGAAGTTATCAAGTCCAAGGATACAGCAGAGAGGACCTCAGTGAAGGAAAGGGTAAAAAAAGGGAGATGAATGCAACCAGAGTTGGACAACCTGTTCAGTCTTTAGCTCTTCCTTCCATAGCAGAGGTCTTGGCATTTTTCTGAGGGAGCTCATCACAGCTTGTGGCTCACGTGAATTGAGAGACATTCCCAGAGCAGGCTGAGTTAATTCCCTGTCTTTTGAGGAAGTACCACATTCAAGGCAGCTTTTCCACGTTGTTTGCAAACACGGGTTTGCCATTGTGACAGATGTGAGGTGGGAAATGTGAAAAGGCTTCTGGGGGCTGTTTGTGTTGATGGTTTTGTTCTGTGCTCTTTCCCTGACGCGCCTTCCACACGGGAAGAAAGCATTAATTTGACAGAGGGGAGAAACACGTCATGTCACAGAACAGCTACTGAATTCAAAATTACATGATAGCAAAGAAAACCCTCCCTCCTGTTGCCACAGTTACTGGGAATCTGCACTTTTGTTTTCCCTTCCTGAGAGTGGTCTGGAATGCATCTCTTGCTGTGGGCAGAAGCAGGAAACCTCAATCCAACCCAGATTCTCCTCCTACTGAAATTAATTGGCAAAATTCCCACAGACTGCAGTGGGGTCAGAAATAATCTGTGAATGGGCAAGGCGAAGTAATTTGATGTTTCTGAGTGCTCAGATTTTGTCCTCCCTCTGTTTCTTTCTATTTCACTTCTATTTGGTGCTATTCTATTTAGCTGTATTTGCTAAATACAATAGAATTTGTAGAATTTCTATTCTACATGTGCAGTGAGAGTGTGACCTCACTAATGTCAACAGTCCCTAAAAGTTAAAAATCCCACTGCTTTGTAAAGGCATTCCATGACTCAAGACAATTAATTCCTCTTGTCAAGTTGTATCCAACACAATGCTGAAAATTCAAGAATTGATTTGCAAGTAGCTTACCCTATTAAAATTAAAAATCTAATCATTCTTCAAGGCCCTATTGTAATGGAACTGATGGCTGTAGATTAAATAAAGTTTTCTTGTAGCACAGCAGAAGAAAAAACCCAGTACAAATCAATGTCTTGCCTATCAAAATCATATAGTATTTCAGATGATACATTAAATAATGAAAGCTGTGTGTCTGCACATGCAGATTTATGCCTCTGTTGAAGTGGGAATAGTGCACAATTGAAGACAAAAAGTACAGACATACAGGCAGGTTTTAAAATACATATTAAAAAATTAAGAAGTTTAAAAAGAAATAGTCTTCAGTCTTCACCTTCAGAGCATTGCTGCAGTGCCTTAGTAACCTTTGGAAATGTTCATTAACATCTGACTTCACTGCCTCTAAGGAATCAATGACAACCTAAATTTTTGGTGGACTACAGGTTTTGTCTCACCCTTTCAACCACTGTTACTTTTGGACACCACCATAACTAGGAAGTAGACTGCATTTAATCACAGGTTTATGAGAGTGTTCCCTGGGAAAAAAAAATATTTTGAGACAAGGAAGAAGTTTCCAGTAGAAAAAGCAAAATTTCAGAAGAAATTATGGTACGTCTTAGACCATTACAGCTTTTGGAAAACCTGTGTCTTTCATGGAAACACTTTGTGCTTCTGCACATCAGGCCATAAATGAGAATAGGAGAGATGGTAGTTTCAATAGGGAAGAGTTTTAGAACTCTAGAAATAGAAGCCTCAGTAATTTCAGCCCAAACAGGGCCTTATTCCCAAGACCTCCAAGAGTAGTTTGACTCTATTATGTAACAGGAAAAAAGCATGACCACCTGTCCCTCAAAGTCCAGGCATTTTAGGATTTATCTATCCAATTCCTGTTGACTTGACTTTTGCACAGTCAATTTATGCTCCACGAGGAGACTGGGTTGATTTCAGTGAGGTTATGTTCAAAATTCCCACTACTGACTTGAATGAAAGCTGTCACTAAATTCCATGCAACCCTTTGGGAAAATCAGTGATGTGGAGCTGCTGGATAGGGAGGGCTTTGTGTGCAGATCTAACCATGATACCAAGATAAAAAGACACCAGCTCCAAATTCTACATTTCTTCAATTTGTGCATTTAGTCATTTCATATGTCAGCCTGCTCAGTGGCCTCCAAATCAAGTGTTTAGTGTACTGGCAAGCAAGTGGCTTATTACTTTCAGCCTGAAATAAAATATCATGGTGCTCTGGGATAATATCTAAGGTAGGAAGGATTTTCAAAGA